GGGGGGGGGGGGAAGGAGGGGAAAAAACCCAAAAACGTAAAGTAAAAAAAAAACAAGAAAAAAAAACATAAAACGTAATACTTTTTTTACTTTACGTGTTTTTTTTTCGTTTTCCCCTTCATATGCACTTAAATGTAGGCCTGTAGGGGATTAGATTACATTCAGTATAAATGAAGTTAGTTTTGTGACTTGCATGTTCATAAACCGCCTCATTTTTAATTCGTTTCAGCTGAAACATTTCTTGCGCACGACTTTTGCCTCTCCCTACGATGCAAATTTCTACAGTGGTGACTGGATGTTAGGTCCAAATCATTTTTGCTGGCAATCAATATGTTTCTTGGGCTACGACCTGGAGGAATATTCGATGTGGGTGAAGCCTAAAGATTTGGATGGTCTAGAACGCATATTGGATATGATATATCAACATGGAGAAGCCGTGAAACAATACCAGTAAGATCAATTTTTGAATTTCTTTAATTTACTAGAAATTTACGATAATAGCGTTGTATTGGGTGTTTAAGTTCAAAAGGTAGTCAAAATGGAAAATATATGGTCAAAATAGTTGGTCACCTTTTAAACGAAATTAGACCAAGTAGGGTTGAATAACCGTACATTAACAAAATGAGATTTCTGGCACACGTTGCGTATACAAACTCTCAATCTGAATCCGCTGTCTTATAAAAAAGATTGAAAATCAAATGTTTAATCCAATAAAACGGCATCGTGTTGCATGTTAGGTGTGGAGCAATTAATGCGTGAAGCGTGTCATTTATGAGCGGTTTTAACGAACGTTGGTTGCAGTAACATGTTACGTTGGAAATTATCTTCAAAAACTCATTAAACTATAAAAGTCGTATCCTCGGTCGTATCTTTATATGTGATAGAGATTTCCCTTGATTTACATAAACTTTAACTTTCATTTTCTCGACTTACACAACGTATTTTTTGAAAATTACTTTGCCAATGAACTTACTAGATCAATCGTTTTTGAAGTACTATTTAAAAAACGAGCAGGAGTGTTTTATTAGGTTTAAAGCCACGAGCGCGCAGCGCGAGTGGCTTTAGACCTAATAAAACACGACCTGCGAGTTTTTTAAATG